GAAAGTTCTAAACAATTAACTACACACTAGAATCTCAAATATTATTGCTTTGGGGGAATATATAAGATTACGCCTCACTGTTCCTTCTACTTTGTAACCACATTCCACTGGAATAAAGCCATGACTGATGGTCCTTCTCACATCAAATTCTGTTTTATAACAAAGAATAAACACAAATTTCAGTGTATTTGTTATTTTTTTTGACAGGCAGAGTTAGACAGTGAGAGAGACAGAGAGAAAGCTCTTCCTTCTGTTGGTTCACCCCCCAAATGGCCGCTATGGGCGGTGCGCTGCAGCCTGCGCGCTGCGCCGATCCGAAGCCAGGAGCCAGGTGCCTCCTCCTGGTCTCCCATGGGGTGCAGGGCCCAAGCACTTGGGCCATTCTCCACTGCACTCCCGGGCCACAGCAGAGAGCTGGACTGGCAGAGGGGCAACCAGGACAGATCTGGCGCCCCAACCGGGATAGAACCTGAGGTGCCAGCGCCCCCATAGGCAGAGGATTAACCAAGTAAGCCGCGGCACCGGCCAGTATATTTGTTATTTTAAACATAGTTGCCTAGCGCTTTAAGCTGAACAAAGGTTCCAGATTCAATCTCCTTATAAGCCAGTTGAATATGCAGTTTTACAACCTTAACAGCACTAATTATTTTACAAATACAACTCATGGGGTAAGGGTAAAAGTGAAACCAAGAATTATCAGAAATTCATTTTACAACTGAAAAAGCAAATCAAAAGATATGGAGCTATTGGCACATTATATATATAGAAGAAAATATAGTGATATCACTTAATGAGATATTTATAGCTAATAAGTATCAGAACCACCATAAATACCTATGTGTAGCTAAAAACCCAATAAACAAAAGTGGTGTTTAATACAAATAGATTTAGTGTCTCCTGCTTATGTGCTCCCCGCTAATATACCTGGGAAAGCAGCAGAAGTATAAATGACTTTCACTTGCAAAGAACCATCCTGAGAGGACAAAGGAAAAGAAACTACGAAAGCCTCACACTCCCGTGCCAAAATTCACAAGGCATGCTTTCTGGTTAGGTGGTCAATGGTTTCAATTATTAGACAGTCTATAGTAAATAGTAGTAAGGATTTAGTATGGCTGCCACGCTCTACAAATCATGACATTAACTTAGGAAGCACTGTCAAAGGGAACTAACTAATGAATTCCTAAACTAGGCTTTAAGCACCATCAATTTTCTTTTAAACACCTCTAATTGTCTCTATTACAATTAGAACTTTACTATACAACCAGCAGTCTTTATTGACTGCTTCTAAGGAGACTATAACTCTCCAGAACACCTCATTCCAATGGAAATTACCATCTTGCTATCTAGGCCTTAGGCTAAGTGGCCTACTACATAGGCAATTTTGGAATATGAGGCCTGAGAGGCAATACAATTTATTATACTTCCACATACCTCCCTCTACTGGCAGTGAGTGAGAACTCAAGAATATTGGTATACAAATGTCAGTATGTAGAACTAAACACAATACAAATAACAATATAATTAAATTGAGACAATGAATTAATAACATGTTGGAAATGCAAAGATCCTAAGATAGGTTATCAGTCAAGTATCTATAGTGTTATCTATGGGAACTTAAGCTTTCACAGATCTCTGGATCTCAGTACAATTATACTGAAGATGAACTGAGGAAGATTCTATACATCTCTATGTTAGCTATGCTATTTCAGCCTTTATGGATATAATTGGTTGTTATGTTCTCAAGATATACATGACTTGATTAAAAAGATCTGAATCCATGTAGTAAGTATGATATGGGGTTGAGGAGCACCCCATTACAATGGCTTACTTTGCCTTCCAGAATAGAGAGATTAGTACAAGCCAACACTATCTATAATAGATGCAATTATTTTTCTTAAAACTCAAATCAGCTGAATATGATTCCTAGAGTCATATTTATTTACTGAAAATCATGATATATAAAGCTTTGTACTGTACCATCCACTAAAAGACTTTAGGAGGACCTCCTCAGTAGTTTTTAATAAATATTTCTTGGGGGTCTGTGTTTTGGCATAGTGGGTAAAGCTGCTACCAGTGACTCTGGCATCCCGTGTGGGTACTGGTTCACATCCAGGCTGCTCCATTTCCAATAAAGCTCCCTGCTAATGGCCTGGGAAAAGCAGTGGAAGATGGCCCAAATGTTTGGGCCCTTGCCACCCACATGAGAGACCTGGATGAAGTTACTGCTTCAGCTTGGTCAGTGCTGGCTGCTGCGGGGATCTGGAGAATAAACCAGCAGATGGAAGACCCCTATTTGTCTCCCCTTCTTTCTCTGTAATGCTGGCTTCTGCCACCCATGTGAGAGACCAGAATGAAGCTGCACAGAGGGGGAGAGACAGCGAAGTCTTCCATCTCCAGTTCACTTCACGGATGCCGCAATGGCCAGCTGTGGGCCAGGCTAAAGCCAGGAGACTAGAACTCCAACCAGGTCTTCAATATGAGTGCAGGAGCCCAAAAGACTTGGAACATCATCCGCTGCCTTCCTAGGCACATTTAGCAGGAAAGTGGATTGGAAGGGGAGCTGCTGGGACTTGAACCCATGCCCATAAGGGATGCCAGCATCATAGGTGGTAGCTTAACCTGCTGTGCCATTGCACTGGTCCCTTCCTCCATGTTTTCAATTCACCACAATCTTATGCATGCATTTAAAGTGAACCCACAAAGACATATATGGAAGCAAACAGAATTTAATCACAGTAATCAAAATGCAGTATGGGTTTGGCCATTTTTATTCTATTATGATTAAGATCCATTTAATGGTCTATGAGACCTGAGGGAGTCAATCTTTAGGCAAAATGATAAAAAATTTCTTTCTGTTCTTGAATATTTCTACTACAATTTATGGCCAGTAAGGATTTAACTCAGCACAATATTAACTTAGAAGAATGAACAGGATGCCCAACACCCCAACAGTAGGACCTCACAATTATTCTCTATAATAGGAACCCTCGTTTCATTTTCTTTTTTTTTCCTTCCAGATTTATTTACTTATTTATCTGAGAAGCAGAGTTACAGAGAGAAAGGAGAGTCAATGAGAGAGAGATCTTCCATCTGTTGGTTTCACTCCCCACGTGGCTAAAGCCAGGAGCCAACAGGTTCTTTTGGGCCTCCCATGTGGGTGCAGAGGCCCAAGCACTTGGGCCATCCTCTGCTGCTTTCCCAAGACATTAGCAGAGCTAGATTGGAAGTGCAGCAGCTGGGACTTGAACCAGTGCCCATACAGCATGCCGCAGTCTCAGTGGTTTTCCCCATTATACCATGATGCTAGCCCCCTCATTTTGTTTTCTTCTAAAGCCCTTCAAAGGTTCAACTTCAAATTTAAAACTATTATAGTCACTGGCTTTCTGTTTCAGCTATCATAGGCCCTTTCCTAAGTCATTTTCTCCTTCAACAAAGGTATCAAATATGTCTGACTTATCAGTGTAAAATTCTCGGGGGTTTCAGCTTTTGGTCCAAGCTGTTACTCATTAGGATATTTGCCCTTGAGTTCTATTACTTGAAGCTCTTCTACATTAATATCTATAATGTCCATTTTAGATATACATAATCTATAAGCTACAACTACCCATTTCCGACCTTAGAGATAACTCCATTATTTCAGGTTTTTTTTTTTTTTTAATTATTTACTTATTTATATGAAAGGCAGAGTGACAGAGAGGGAAAGATTTCCCATTTGCTGGTTTACTCCCCAAATGGCTATAACAGCAAGGACCAGACCTGGCTAAAGAGAGGAGCCAGGAACTCCATTTGGGTCTCCCACATAGATAGCAGTGACACAAGCACCTGGACCATTTTCCGCTGCTTTCCCAGGCACATTAGCAGGATTGGAAGTAAAGCAGCCAAGACTTGAAATGAATGCCCCAGAGTTTGTGTGTGTGTGTGTGTGTGTGTGTGTATGACATAACTGTTATAGCCAAATACTATCTTGAGACAGTATTATTTGATTTGGTTTATCTAAAGTTATGCGATTATCAGAAGAATGGGCAGTACCATGGGCTGTGCAGTATACCAGAAAGTTGCAAAAGGTTAATGTTGAGAAATCCCGGAATATTAAATCTACTTTCCATGCCCCTGGAGGAGGTATGGCTGTGATGACACTGCATTTAATTCAAGAAATCAAGAGAACTTTATATTTATATATACTTTCAACAAATAAGTGCTTAAATGGTCAGTGTAAAGTTTTCCATAATAATGATGCAAGTCTCAGTTGACAAGTTTGATGCAATGACACCTTCTATAAACAATGTCATCTACTGCCCTTGTTAGGGACTCTGGGGGATAAAGAACATTATATTAAGAAATGCAGCATCTATATCTCCTAATATGGCCACCTACTTCCAACAGATTTCTACATCCTGGGCTGAAATGTGTTATGTATATGTGTATACTCTTTTAAGACAATTGATAAGCCACCTGAAGTGGTGCATATAGTTTAAAAGAATTCCATTATGCTTCCTTAAACTCTGAAATAGTCAAATAACTAAAGTCAACAACACTAGACAGAGTTAGGCAATTTACTTACATCCTAGCACACAGTGTGTCGCAGCAGGTAAAGCCATAGGCTGCAACACCAGCATCTCACACCAAAGTGCTGGTTCTAGGCCTAGATAGTTTGCTTCTGATGCAGCTCCTTTCTAAAATGCCTGGGAAGGCAGTGAATGATGGCCCAAGTACTTGGGCCTCTGCTACCCATGGGGGAAACCAGGATGGAGTTCCAAGTTCCTGGCTTCAGTCTGGCACAGCCCTGGCTGCTGTGACCATTTGGAGAACGTATCAGCAGATGGGAGACATCTCCTTTTTTCCTCCCTCCCTCAAGCTGACACTCTGCCTTTCAAATAAATGAATAAGTAAATACACTAAAAAAAAAAAAACACCTTGTGCTTATTACCACTGCCAATTCATTTGTCTGTTGGTTTTTTTTTTTTTCACTCTTTAAAATGAAAAAACCATCAAACACATACCCATTTTGGGAAGAAGTTCTTTATCGGCTCCCTTGAAAAAGCACACGTAGATCACTAATCCTCTCTGAACCTATAAGAAATCAGCACAGCAAATTCAAATTAGAAAGACATCTGTACAGAGATATGGAGATACATAAACACAATTCCACAACTGTTATTGACATACAGGCTAAAGAAAAAGGAAGAAAAATAGGTTCTACAATGTGATTTCTAAGATACAATAGAAAACAAAATTCTTCAAGTTTGTCACCTCAATTATTATATCTTTCAAGCATTAAGTTTAAAATATAGCAGAAGTTATAACTTCAAACATTTACTGCTTATCAAATTCACTGGGACTGTCAACCAGCTTCCTCCCCATTAAAGAAGGCTGGCAAATTTTGAAATAGTTGATTTATTCAATACCAAGTGGATTGACATTACAGCAGATATGGCTGATGGATAACTAACACAATGATGGATGTCTTCTGACTCCATCACTCTTCATTTTCCCAATCAACTTACTAACACAGAAGGAAAACAAGAACCTGACTCTACAAACTACAGGAAACTGTACAATTATTTTTTGTTACTACTGCTATATTTTTAAGATTTATTTATTCATTTGAAACACAGAATTAAAGAGAGGCAGAGACAGAGGTGGAGGGTCTTCCAACTGCTGGTTCATTCCCCAAATGCCCACAATGACTGGAGCTGGGCCAATCCAAAGCCAGGAGCCAGAAGCTTCTTCCAGGTCTCCCATGCAGGTGCAGGGGCCCAAGGACTTGGGCAATCTTCTACTGCTTTCCCAGGCCATAGCAGAGAGCTGGATCAGAAGTTGAGCAGACAGGACTCAAACTAGCACCCATGTGGGATGCCAGCACTACAGGCGGTGGCTTTACCTGTTATACCACAGCACTGGCCCCTATTATTGTTAACACTTTAAATAAACATAGTAATTAGGCCTTGAAAATTACATTTATGATAATAAAGTTTTTTTTTTCTTCTTTAAGATTTATTTACTTATTTGAAAGGCAGAGTAATAGAGACAGAGAGATCTTCTATCTGCTGGTTCATTGCCCAAATGGCTTTAGTGGCTGAGTCTGGGCCAGACCTAAGCCAGGAGCTTCATCTGAGTCTCCCACGTGGGTGCAGGGCCCCAAAAACTTGGGTCATCTTCTGCTGCTTTCCCAAGTACATTGGAAGGGAGTTGGATCAAAAGTGGAGCAGCCAGGACACAAACCAGCACCCACATGGGATGCTGAAATTGCAGGCTGTGGCTTACTTAACCTGCTGTGCCACACACCAGCCCCTCTGATATTAAGTTCTACATCACAAGCTTACTTATCAGGAATATACACTTATTTATTTCAGATAATGACTTGGATATTTATTTATTAGCTCTGGTAAGATGGAAACTATGTAGAAAATAGATACCTAAGGGCTGGGCATTTAGCGCTGTGATTAAGTCACTGCTTGGGACACCTGCATTCCATATTGTAGTCCCTGGGTTTAAGTAGCAGCTCCACTTTTAATCCAGCTTCCTGCTAATGTGCACTGTGTGAGGCAGCAGGAGATGGCTCAAGTACTTGGGTTTCTGCCACCCACTTGGAGACCCAGATTGAGTTCCAGGCTCCTGACCTAACCCTGCCTGTTGTCAGAATTATAGACTGGGCCGGCGCCGCGGCTCACTAGGCTAATCCTCCGCCTTGTGGCGCCAGCACACCGGGTTCTAGTCCCGATCGCGGCGCCGGATTCTGTCCCGGTTGCCCCTCTTCCAGGCCAGCTCTCTGCTGTGGCCAGGGAGTGCAGTGGAGGATGGCCCAAGTCCTTGGGCCCTGTACCCCATGGGAGACCAGAAGAAGTACCTGGCTCCTGCCATCGGATCAGCATGGTGCGCCGGCCGCAGCGCACCGGCTGCGGCGGCCATTGGAGGGTGAACCAATGGCAAAGGAAGACCTTTATCTCTGTCTCTCTCTCTCACTGTCCACTCTGCCTGTCAAAAAAAAAAAAAAAAAAAAAAAAAAATTATAGACTGAACCAGCAGATGGAAGATTTCTCTCTTCAAATAATTTTTTAAGAGACATCTGATAAATGATTTTAATTCTGTTGCTGAATCAATAGTTTTTGATGCTGTATATTAACTTTGTTAACTACAAGAGGTACAGCAAAGACTAAATGAGATAATATCTGTAAAGTGCTTAAAACAGTGCTTGGTTTATGGTAACCATTTATTATGTGAGCATGTAAAAATAAATTTAAGGGCAGAAGCACAATTTATTGCACATTTTAACTCCTAAAGGACTTATAAGTTGTTTTGTACATGACAGGGCCTCAAGTTACCAGTTGACTGCATTAACAGCCAATTGTATCTTGCACTTCCTGTATTAGTTTTTTATGTAAATGCAGCTCTACATTTACACTCATTTACCTAGAAAAGAAGTCATTTTTGTGCAGCTATGCTTCTGTAACAACAGGTAAGGGCCTCCAGTGCATATCCATAAAAAGGAGTGTAACTTGAATGCTAAAGGTATCTGTACTACTGCATAGGCCTCTCTGCTGGTATTGTTTTCGGCACTGGTTGAAATCTTAAGCATATGCATATTCTTTTAACTTACCACATAGCCTCGCCTCATCAAGATATTTTTATTTATCCTAATGGTATATCATAAATTGTGACCTACAGATGTCTCTCTTCAAGTCACAATTTTTATTGTAGCTTCTTTGTTATAAAACATTTCAAATACAGTTCATCTTCATTATCCATGAGGAATTGTTTCCAGGACCTCTGGTGGATGTTCAAGTTCCTTATATAAAAAGGCATAATATTTGCATATATCCTATACACATTCTTTCATATCCTTTATTTTTCTAAAAATACTTATCTGAATTGAGGCGAGAGTCATGCTTGGGTATTAGCTATTGCCTTAGTGTGCTAGAGTCCTTGAAGAGTAAGTGTTGATTTTATTCACTGGCTGTAGGCCTCAAGGCACAGTCAGTCACCAGGTTAGTGACAGACTTCAGAGAAAAAAAGATTTTTTTATCTGAGAGACAGAGAAAAACTCCCAATTGCTGGCTCATTCCTCAAATGCCTACAGTGGCCTAGATTGGGCTGGGGCTGAGCCAGGAGCCAGAAGCTCAATCCAGGTCTCCCATATGGTCTCAAGTAACCCAGTCACTTGAACCATCACTATATCCGAGAACCTATACTAGCAGGTGCCAGAATTGGGTAACAAACCCAGGTACTCCTATATGGGATGTGGGCATTTTAACCACTAGGCCAAACTCACACCTCTCCCACTTTCTCCTATATTTTAAATAATCTCTACATTATTTATATACCTAACACAATGTAAATACTATGTAGTAGCTGTTATACTATATTGCAAAAAAAAAACCACCTAGTTTTAGAAAGCCTAATTTATAAAAATTTGTAATTTTTTAGAATTGATAAAAAGTACGTACATGTTCAGTATAGATGCATTTTTCCCCCAAATATTTTCTGAGGTTGGTTGAATCCATGAACGCAGAACCCACAGAAGCTGAAGGTCAGATTGTATGTAGAAAAGTGCAGGAGCTGGCACTGTGGTGCAGCCGCTACTTTTGATGCTGGCATTCCATATAGGAGTACTGATTTGCGCCCTGGCTGCTTTGCTTTTGATCCAGCTTCCTGCTAATGTACCCAGAAAGGCAGAAGATGATCCAAGTATCTTGGGCCCCTGCCACCCATGTGGAAGACCAGGATGGAGTCCCTGGCTTCTGACTTTTGCTTGGCCCAGACCTGGCTGTTGTGGCCATTGCGGAGTAAAGCAGCAAACGGAAGATCTCTCTCTCTCTCTCTGTCCCTCTGACTTTCAAGGAAATAAATCTTTAAAAAAATTTTTTTAAAAAAGCACAGGTAATTTTCACTGTGGCTTAGAAATACTCAGTTTTCAGGAAGAAAAACATTTATCTGTGATAGCAAAGTTCTAAACAACTGAAACAGCAAAATACCCTTCAAATCTTTTGACAATTAAAACACTGCTTCTAAAAAAAAAAAACTTTCAATAACAGAACAGGGAAAGTGTTTGAGAAAGAATTCTCACCATCTAATTAGTTGCCAGCTCTGTAATTTACTCATGTGTGTGGGAGTGGAAGGGAAAGCCTTTTACAAAAACCTTTTAAAATGTATAAGCACAAACCAATAGTTTGGAAGCCTGCAATAAACTATCTGTGATTTTTCTATAATGAGATGTGGCACAAAGAATATAAAAAAGATAAAGAGGAATAGAAGGAATCTAAATGATTACCAACTCGGAATTCAGAGTGCTAGTAGGCAACTATAAAAATAGGTGATTCTTCAGATAGGATAGCAAATGTAAAGAGAATAAAATTTCAAATATGGAAGAAAATCAACACTTCAACAAAAACTCATTAACACAAATGAGAAAAATGAGGTTTCGAGAAGAGGGGAGAGGTGAGAAAATAGGAACTTTTATACTTATTAAATTTATACTTATCAAAACAGCACACAGTAACAGATTCTGATTTAAGATAATCATCCACAGGCCGGCGCTGTGGCATAGGAGGCAAAGCCTCTGCCTGTGGTGATGGCATCCCATATGGCTGCTCCTCTTCCAATCCAGCTCTCCACTATGGCCTGTGAAAGCAGCAGCAGATGGCCCAAGTGCTTGGGCCCCAGCACCTGCTCCTGGCTTTGAATTGGCCCATCTCAGGCCACTGTGGCCATTTGACGAGTGAATCAGCAGATGGAAGACCTTTCTGTCTGTTTCTCCCTCTCTGTAACTCTTCGTCTCAAATAAATAAACAAAATCTTAAAAAAAATCATCCACATGCCATAGTTCACGGGTAGTATTTCAATTAATGACTTGGGGCCGGCGTGGTGGCTCACTAGGCTAATCCTCTGCCTGCCGCGCCAGCACCCTGGGTTCTAGTCAAAGTTGGGGCGCCGGTCCGGTCCCGGTTGCTCCTCTTCCAGTCCAGCTCTCTGCTGTAGCCGGGGAGGGCAGTGGAAGATGGCCCAGGTCCGTGGGCCCTGCACCCGCATGGGAGACTAGGAGAAGCACCTGGCTCCTGGCATCAGATCCACGCAGCACGCCGGATGTGGTTGCCACTTGGGAGGTAAACCAATAGAAAAAGACCTTTCTCTGTCTCTCACTCTAACTCTGCCTGTCCAAAAAAAAAAATAAATAAATAAATAAATAAATAAAAAAAAATCAATTAATGACTTGGATTGTGTTAAGGAATGTAAGATCTGGAACCCAATGTAGAAGATGTTTACTTTAAATTCTCCCACATTAAAGTTCCTGATTCCTCAGAAAGTCTTAGTTATGAACTAATCGTCTTCATGCATTTCAACTTACTCCCCCAAATATGTCAGGGGCCTTAAGGAACATCTTAATCTTTTCGCATGGAGTGGGCGCAGGCCTCAATAAGGCAAGGATACAAGTACCGACATAAATGTTTTCAATTCTTTGGAAGAAACGGGAGAACAATGCTTCGTTATTATAAATGTAGAGGTCTTTGTATCGGACTTGCAAATGGGTCAGATTTTTCTTTTTCTTGAAGTACAATAGTTCGCTGCGAACTCTGCACAACGGCCTAGTACCGAAGACCAAGCTGCAGCCGCCGGGAGCGGCCATTCGACGCCACGCGGAGGCCACGTCAAAGCAGCAAACCAGACCTACAAGCTCGAGCCAGACCGTCACAGGCCCCGTCCCACACGGACGAGACGTCCACAGCGCTCAGGCAGCAGACCGCGTGAGGAGGTTCCACCCGCCGAGGGCCCGCAACGCGGGAAAGCCTCCGTGGGCAGCGTCGGGCACACCGGCCGCCGCGACGTCCCGCGCGGCCCACAGCCCACGCCAGGGAACCAAGCGGCCCGCACGCCGGGCCAGAAGCGAGGCCGGTCACCAAGACAACGCGGAGAGGGCTGCCCCCCGGCGCAGGACGACAACCGGGGCTGCCGGGCCGACGTTACCTCAACCCACTGGGCCGCGGCGTCCCCCTCGGCCGGGCGAACTTGCAGCCGCGCGTGCAGACACTGCTGTAGGAGCGCACGGGCTTGAGGCGTTCGGCCACCGTCGGCCATTGCTGCAGCCCTAGCCCCAGGATCCCACCGGTTCCGGCCGCGCGCCCCGGAGGCTCCGCCCCTGGACTGCCCGCAAGGAGGACGGGACGGGGCGGGGCACGACGGAGGGACCGCCCCAGCCGCTCTGGGGGCGGGGCCTCGGGGGGGGGGGTGTCCCTGGGGTGTCCCGGATGTTCTGTCTTCAAAGACAAAGCTCTGCTAAGCCCCTCCGCAGTTGGGGAGTGATTCTGTAGAAGCTGTTCAGTGTATATTTGAAACCAGTGAAAAGGCTCATTGGGTCTTTGCTACACACATTTTGTAGAAACATTTTTCACCTCAGAAAGCTTAGGTTTCCAGAGGTTAAAAACCTTTAAATAAGCTTGATGGAGGTCCGTGTTATGTTACTTAATGAAAATAGGTAAATGTAACGAATCGATTGATCTGGCGGCAAGTGCAGATGGAACTAAAAGCTATAAATCTTTCAAAATTTTCCTTACCCTAATCAATAAAACGGTACTGCCTCCTCTGTCAGGAATGCTATTAATCATTCTGATTCACGGTTGTGAAAAGTATTGATATGCTCTATGAATACACACTTGGAGATCAATTCTCTAGGGAATATCCCCTGTAAAAGCATGCTTATATAGGAAAGTATGTGATACCTAATAAGTTATTTAACCTGCTGCAAAAATAAAACAACATATCCTGATGCACATACAATATTAAATTTTGCAATGCATTTTCTATGAGTACGTATTAGGATGCAAATAAAGTTAAACAAGGGCTTGATTTTTCTTTCCCACGCAACACATTCCTTAAACATGCATCAGATTAGCATGTATTTTTCTACAGGCTTGGAGGGTTTGGATGAAGAATAATAGTGTTACCCTGATTGCATTACCCAGGTCATTGATTTGGCCTCAGTTGGCACAATATGCCTATACATTCTGGCCTGTAGTTTTAGCAGATGACATCACTGACAGTGTTGCTATCCATACAAAGTAGTGTGACTAAAAAAATAATCCATGCATAGTCAATAGCCCTTTGTACACAAAATTTAAGCTGCATGTTTGGTAGTTATCTTGTAACCTGTCTTAAACTTTTATTTTTAAAAAGCAGCAGCAAAATCTCACATATCTGATTGCTGCATTACAGGGGTTCTGATATTCATTGACATTTGTCTGCAAGTACAGAACAATTGAATTGCTTAATGTATGCATCTTTATGTCATTGCAACTCTTAAGTCTCTTTTTCTCTTTCTCTCTCTACCAGACATAAATTTGGAGGGAACTTTGACATAGAGATCTTTAGCCTAGAAGAAAGGGCTTTGTGTCCATCTGCATCTGGATGTCAGGGATAAGGAGGTTTAGTGAAAATAGGCTTTGGGGCCAGTGCTATGGCATAGCGGGTAAAGCCGCCAACTGCAGTGCCAGCATTCCATATGGGTGCCAGTCTGAGTCCCAGCTTTTCCACTTCCAATATCCAGCTCTCTGCTATGGCTTGGGAAAGAAGTAGAAGATGGCCCAAGTCCTTGGGCCTCTGCACTTGCATGGGAGACCTGGGGGAGGCTCCTGGCTCCTGACTTTGGACTGGCACAGCTCCGTCTGTTGCAGCCAATTGGGGAGTGAACCAGAAGATGGAAGACCTCTCTCTCCCTCTCTCTGCCTCTCCTTCTCTCTTTGTGTAACTCTTTCAAATAAAATAAATAAATCTTTTTTTTAACAAGAAAATAGGGTTTATGGTTCCCAGAGATCTTCCCACATGGACCAGCTTTGTGGTGCAGTGAGCTAAGCAGCAGGCAGCAACCACCCCCTGATGGAGCACCATCTGGCTACTCTGCTTCCAGTTTGTGTCCCTGCTAATGTGCCTGAGAAGGCATGGTCCAAGTACTTGGGCCCCTGCCACCCATGTGGGAGACCAGCATAAAGCTCTGGGCTCCTCGCTTCAGCCTGGACAAACCCTGGCTGTTGCAGCCACTTAAAGAAAGAACCAGTGGATGGAAGATCTCTTTGTCCCACTCTCTATCATCCCATCTTTCAAATAAATGAATAAATAATTTTTTGTGTGTGAAAAACATCTTTCCACAGTGAGGGGCCTTTAAAAATTATGAATAACTTTATTTCTGGAAATAAATGAAGTCTCACTGGTGAATAGCTTTGCAAAAATCACCAATTACTTTAAATCTTCCTATTGGATGAGGATCTCCTGGACATTGCTGTAGGTGATGTAATAGATTGTGGCTCAGTATTCTTCCCTTCTACCTGCAGAGGGCAGTAGTGAATAGACACTGAAGAAACATTTCCTTTATTTTATTTTTTGGGTTGAAGGTTTGTACACAGACAGCTTCAACTATATCTGCAATGGTTGTTTAAAAATTGACACATAATATTTGTAAATATGGGGTAAAATATAAATTGATACATTTAATAAAATGAAGATAGTGCTTACATCTCTTCAAACACTATTAATTATTTCTGCATGTCGGGCACATTTGAAGCCTTCTTTTTTAGTTATTTTAAAAATACATCATATATTGTTGTAGACTAACTAACTAGAACACCAGAACCAATTCCTTTCATTTAACAGAATTTTGGTGTGCCTTAACTAACCTCTTTCCAGCCTATCTTTTCTCTCCTCTTCCCAGCTATATTTTGTTTTTTGAACACCTAATTAAATTCCACCAAGAATTTAAGAAGGCAGGTCACAAATGCAATAAAATAGTAGTATGTGGGGCCTGGCGTTGTGGCCCAGCAGCAGGTTAAGCATCCCATATGAGCACTGGTTGGAGTTCCAGCTGCTCCATTTCCCATTTAGCTCCCCAGTAACGCACCTGGAAAGCAACAGGAGATGGCCCAAGTACTTGGGCCTTTGCCACCTATGTGGATGGAGTTCCAGGCTCATGGCTTCTACCTGGCCTAGCCTCAGCTATTGAGGCCTTTTGGGGAGTGAAGAAGCAGATGGAAGATCTCTTTGTCCCTCTCTTTCTGTCACTCTGCCTTTCAAATAAATAAAATAAATTTTTTTTAAAAAATATTAATATATGGAACAAATTTTCCATATAGGAGCACCTGGGTTCAAGACTGAGCTATGGGTTCATTCTTAATAAGAAATATTCACATGACATGGAGTGGAAATTCTCACATCCAGCGTGACTGGCACATTTCCTGCTATGGTTAAGTGTGAGATACTAGATTATATTCTGAAGTCTCTATTAATTTAGTATGGTAAATATTTTGTCTCTATTATAAACTGAAACTTTTTTTTATGTAGGCAATGTAAAACAGAAATTGAGACAGTCCTTGGTAAGGGAGGAATCAAAAAACAGTGTGAGAAAATGTTAATTTCTACAAGGGACGCTTCGATATGACCGCAAGTGCTGACCACAGGACGCAGTGAGAATATGGTGAACTATGACCCTAGAGCAAATGTAGTAGCAGATTTCCTAGGGTAATTTCTTAAATTTCCTCTTGGTAAAAGCAGAATTCCAGCGTGCGTGTTTGCGCAGTGGCTAAGATACCACATGGGATTTCCACATCCCACAGTGGAAAAGCCTGTTTGAGTCCTGACACCTCTGCTTCCAATCCACCTTCCTGTTAAAGCATACTCTGGGAGGCAGCAGGTGATGGTTCATGTACTTGGGTGTCTGCCAGCCATATGGGAGACCTCAGTTTTTTTTTTTTTTAAAGATTATTTATTTGGGACCAGTATTGTGATGTAGCTGGTAAAGCCGCTGCCTGTGACTCTGGCATCCCACGTGGATGCTGGTTTGTGTCCTGCCTGCTCAGCTTCTAGTCCCGCTCCCAGCTAATGGTCTG